CAGCTGAACTTGAAGCACGCTGATGCAATCCCCGCTACTAATTTCAGACTGATGAAGAGGGGACTAGGTTTACACGTTGGGGCGGGGGCACAATCTGAGTTCAGGAGGCCTAAGTATGGTACTGAAGAAAAACTATATAACAAGGAAATCCATGACCAATGAGTGATTAGTTTGAGTGATAATTAATTGTAATTACAATGTGACAATGATTTGATTTAGTGATTGCTTTGATTAGTAGCTGTCAATTACCAGGATCTGATTCATCTATATCTGGATTAATCACTTGTGCAAATCGTCCTAATAATCAGAACAATGTGAGGAAAAGGGTGATTACTGATTGCTTTGTCATCAAATATATGATGATTAACACTGCCAAGGATAGTGTATCTTACCAGCTTTTATCCTACATTTGATGCATGATCTTCCCTTTGAAAAGGTTATAGTCTACACAATGAGTCTTCTTAACACGTTAACCTAATCAAAGCGTGGAAAATAGCCTTCTCGCACATTTATTAGTGTCCAAATGTTGCCCTTCACATGTCAACAGAAACCCCCTCCCAACCCCCCAATAACATCAGCAACAGGTGGCTAAAGACACAGCGGGGGGAATCTGTGTTCGTTGTATGCAGTAACTTATTTGTTGTAATATCCCAAATGGACGTGGCAGTTTCCAGCTTTAACTAACAGCCAAATGAGAACACAATCTTTCATGGGCTTCTTTTCTGAAACATTCACCTTGAAATGCTAAGGTATTCTGGGGGCCTGCTCTTTCATGAACATTTAATGAGTTTTGTATGCACTGCAAGAGCAGCTGCCAAAGAATGCACATTGAGACTGGCAAGAGAATCAGTGGGAAAGGATATATGCCCCTTCCCCTGTTCCTAGTAGTCTGTACATAGGCTACATGGCCATATGGGAATTAAGGAAATTATGCAGATAGCCAGACAAGCAGAAACAAATTTAGCCAACATAAGCAGATGTAGAAATTACATTTACATTTTAGTCATCTAGCAGACGCTCTTATCCAGAGCGACTTACAGTTAGTGCATACATTTTTTTTGTATATATATTTTTTCATACTGGCCCCCCGTGGGAATCGAACCCACAACCCTGGCGTTGCAAGCGCCATGCTCTACCAACTGAGCTACACGGGACTCAGTTGACAAATGTCAATGCTGTTATATTATGTCAGTGAGGGAGGACAAAGATTTTCACCAGACAATGAATCACTTTTCCTGTCAGGGGCGGGTTGAGAGGGGTGTAAAGTCACAAAAAAGTAGAACGGATGTGATTGTCATACAACCCTGCACACCTCACACCTGTAGCCACCTGGAACGTAGGGGTGGCACCAGAGAGCAGGACATGACTAACAAAACTTTCCAAATGAAAAGCTAAAGTTGAATGAGGCCAGCTTCTAATTGAGGCATGTAGCTAGTATCCACTGGTTTATATACATTATTTTCTGAAATGCCGGCCTAAACTAAACCCATAGAGCTAACTTTCAACGAATGAGCTAGCCATGTGCATCGCACGCTCGACTCGCTGACTGACACAAAATAATCTAGAATAGACCGTGCTATAAGAAATTCCTCTTAACTGTATTTAGCATTAGTGTGGTTTTTATGCCATTTCCTACTGAGAACGTAGCTACGTGGTATAGCCATACCAGGAAGTGCAATAATTAATTTCACTTTTTGAAATGCAGCCAAAAAGGAATACAAATATTTGAATATGCATGCACTACTCCTACTACGGTATTTAGCTACCTAACTTGCAGTGCTCGTGTGCCGACTGTCCATTTTGGGAACTCACCTGTTTTAAACCTGAGGTCATCATCTTCTGGTGAGCCGAATTCTTTCAGGAGGGACATGAACAGGATGCCAAAGGCGTTCTGGATTCCGAACACCGCTCCATTGCACCACATTGCAGCCAGCATAACCACCCACCCCCATCCTCCTTCTGGATGCACGAACTCGGGCTCCTCCACAGCCACGGGGACCTGCTCTTGGATGGTTCCTTTACTATCCCCTTTCCCATTCTTTTCCTCAGCATCGCCCGGGCGCTTTTCCTCTGCTTTCATTGGTGTCTCCTCTGCAGGCTCCGCAGCGACCTTTTCTTTACTTGCATCAGATTCAATGTCTGTCATGTTTGTACCTGCTGTCATTTCTTGGCAAAACTGTGCAGATTTGTAACACTGTCAAATATGATGACAGCAATATACCGGTAACTAGTCTAAATGGTGTGCTCTCAAGCTGCAGCCAAGTTCAACTGAAGAGATTCAGATAATGGTATGCCCCAAAACGTGTCTATCTACAAATATGAATACTTTGCATCTCCTTTCAGGGAATTGTTACCTAGAAGATGTATCCATTCAGAAGCAGTAGCCGTATTGAAAATGTCTACCACTAGCCCGCACTGTTTGTAGTGTCAAACACTAGTGTTGCAATATTGTATAAATAGATACCCGAGGGGCGGGTCGTGCGTACATTATGGCGGTTTCTGTCGCTGATTGGACGCATTGTTGTCTTTTTAAAGTATGACGTCTGAGCATTTAGGAATTACTGTAGTGTTTGAAAAGTTAGAATAAACATTCTTTAAGAGAAGATCCAGAACACATTTATTTAACCTGGTTATACAGAGGAGATATCTTCTGCATGCAAGGAAAAGGTCCATTTAGGAGTCTCAGAACTATAATTTGTGCTGTATTGAAGTTAACGTCCATAATCCAAAAAGTCAAATCAATCCCGATTAATTGTACATATAATTGTGGTTAGGGTTAGGGAGGGGGCGATGACCTGTTTTCATAAGTAGCCTATTACCCAGTTTTCTCAATTATCCCCATTATCAGTAGGCCTATACAATATAAAAAACGAAATCTAACACTTTTAAACATGACTTAATTTAAATAAGACTTAATTGTACTATTGATTTCAATATAACGCCAGAGCCGAGGTTAAGAGAATATTAACTATGAATTTAGCAGATTAATAGTCAAACAGCGATCTCTTGTGTACAAAGTTAACCAATACTTCTGATTTCATATCCACATCTGCCGGCAAACGTTTCATACCTGGAAGCTGACTGAAATATACCAAGTTATCTAATGTCAGGAGATTACAGATTTGTTCATATGGAGGCAAATCTTTATATCAGAGGGCTTGTGGTGGCAAAGTGAAAAGTATAATTCTTTCCTCCCAGTTACATGGTTTAGCTCCCAGTCCCCTGTAGCTCAGTTGGTAGAGCATGGCGCTTGCAACGCCAGGGGTGTGGGTTTGTTTCCCACGGGGGGCCAGTATGAAAAATGTATGCACTCACTAAACTGTAAATCGCTCTGGATAAGAGCGTCTGCTAAATGACTAAAATGTAAAAAATAAAAATAAAAAGTAAAAAAGTTTAATTGTGCTCCTTCCACTCACAAAAAATTTAAACATTTCTGAATGTACCAAACAGAGTTAAATAGTACACTGCTCAAAAAAATAAAGGGAACACTTAAACAACACAATGTAACTCCAAGTCAATCACACTTATGTGAAATCAAACTGTCCACTTAGGAAGCAACACTGATTGACAATACATTTCACATGCTGTTGTGCAAATGGAATAGACAACAGGTGGAAATTATAGGCAATTAGCAAGACACCCCCAATAAAGAAGTGGTTCTGCAGGTGGTGACCACAGACCACTTCTCAGTTCATATGCTTCCTGGCTGATGTTTTGGTCACTTTTGAATGCTGGCGGTGCTTTCACTCTAGTGGTAGCATGAGACGGAGTCTACAACCCACACAAGTGGCTGAGGTAGTGCAGCTTGTCCAGGATGGCACATCAATGCGAGCTGTGGCAAGAAGGTTTGCTGTGTCTGTCAGCGTAGTGTCCAGAGCATGGAGGCGCTACCAGGAGAGAGGCCAGTACATCAGGAGACGTGGAGGTGGCCGTAGGAGGGCAACAACCCAGCAGCAGGACCGCTACCTCCGCGTTTGTGCAAGGAGGAGCACTGCCAGAGCCCTGCAAAATGACCTCCAGCAGGCCACAAATGTGCATGTGTCTGCTCAAACGGTCAGAAACAGACTCCATGAGGGTGGTATGAGGGCCCGACATCCACAGGTGGGGGTTGTGCTTACAGCCCAACACCGTGCAGGACGTTTGGCATTTGCCAGAGAACACCAAGATTGGCTAATTCGCCACTGGCGCGCTATGCTCTTCACAGATGAAAGCAGGTTCACACTGAGCACGTGACAGAGTCTGGAGACGCCGTGGAGAACGTTCTGCTGCCTGCAACATCCTCCAGCATGACCGGTTTGGCGGTGGGTCAGTCATGGTGTGGGGTGGCATTTCTTTGGGGGGCTGCACAGCCCTCCATGTGCTCGCCAGAGGTAGCCTGACTGCCATTAGGTACCGAGATGAGATCCTCAGACCCCTTGTGAGACCATATGCTGGTGCGGTTGGCCCTGGGTTCCTCCTAATGCAAGACAATGCTAGACCTCATGTGGCTGGAGTGTGTCAGCAGTTCCTGCAAGAGGAAGGCATTGATGCTATGGACTGGCCCGCCCGTTCCCCAGACCTGAATCCAATTGAGCACATCTGGGACATCATGTCTCGCTCCATCCACCAACGCCACGTTGCACCACAGACTGTCCAGGAGTTGGCAGATGCTTTAGTCCAGGTCTGGGAGGAGATCCCTCAGGAGACCATCCACCACCTCATCAGGAGCATGCCCAGGCGTTGTAGGGAGGTCATACAGGCACGTGGAGGCCACACACACTACTGAGCCTCATTTTGACTTGTTTTAAGGACATTACATCAAAGTTGGATCAGCCTGTAGTGTGGTTTTCCACTTTAATTTTGAGGGTGACTCCAAATCCAGACCTCCATGGGTTGATAAATGTGATTTCCATTGATAATTTGTGTGATTTTGTTGTCAGCACATTCAACTATGTAAAGAAAAAAAGTATTTAATAAGATTATTTCATTCATTCAGATCTAGGATGTGTTGTTTAGTGTTCCCTTTATTTTTTTGAGCAGTGTATGTCTATGAAAAGAACATCACATGAGACAAGATGTACAAAACAAGTTTAATCATTGAGAATTGTTCCACGATGTACCAGCAGAGATTTTTTTTTTTTGAAGAATGACGGCTAATTTCATTTTTTCTTATGCACATCAGACTGCCTGCCTTTCACACAAAACAATACCAAACTAAGCAACAGAATGAAGACAATTTGCAAGGCATTAAAAAGAGATATCGATAAGCACACCACCACATTGTCTTGAAATGTTGACAAACATACTTGCAGAAGGTAAACATGTATGTGGGGGCCATTCTTTTCATCATTGATGACAATTCGGAAGAATTCAGTCAACATCCACTGTTGGCTTGATGACGTGAGCTTGTGAAATGTCCATTAAAGCCTGGGAAGACCTCACTCTACTTCGGCGGTTTTCGGGGACGTCTCTCCCTCCACAACAGCAGCAGCTGCTGGGCCCCTCCTCTTCCTCAGACCCTTCATCTTACGTGTTTGGAGCTTGGCCAGATCCTGCTTCTGCATGTGCAACCTGCCAAACTTGGTACCAAAGGTATCATGGGATATGTTCTTCTTCTTCTTGGGCTGTAAAGAATAGAAATGACAAAGAGCAACATGAGGACTTCGATTGCCTTGATGATTCATTTCACTACATATTTGTGCAATTAAGACAGACGTTTAAAAAGAAGCAACATAGCGGCTGTTGAAAGAGCGTGAAAAAGATGTTGACAGCAACTAGACATTTTTCCTACCTTCAGAGCCTTGGGCTGCCTGTGAGCTGTCTTGTACAGGTCATCTGACGCCAGGTGGGTTCTCCGCAAGATAAAGTCAAAAGACGGCCCGATCTCCTCCAGCTCAATCCTTGGTGTCCGACATCCAGACTTCTTCAACAGAGATCTGGAGAAAAACAAAGAGCTTTGACTAGTGATCATTTCAGGGGTGAGAGGGACGGCTGACACTAACTTCACAGAACGTGGCTCTGTCCCAAATGGCACTCTTTTCCTTTTAGTGCCCATAGAGCTCTGGTCAAAAGTATTACACTATATAGGGAATGGGGTGCCATTTGGGACACAGCCCATATGTCGTCATGTCAATCTATTGTGAATAATAGGAGGCACTGGTAGATGGTCCAGCTGCTGGAAGGCAGACATACCTGTAGCTGCGCATGTAGATTTTCCCCTCCAGAGCAGTGAAGTGCAGGACATGCTCCAGACCTGCCAGGCGCACTGAAGGCACAACAGGACCTCTAAAGAAGTCTGAATAATAAGACGATTAGAGTAGAAAATGGTCAATAGTGTCATTGACATGATGCAATGTTATAAGACCAAAATAATGGAGAATTTGGTAACTATGTATTATCTAAATGTTTACTAGTTAGACTAAATGTGTTGTAACTAAATGGGAAATCTTAACTGTAGGACTGATATTAACCTCATGACATCTGATTAACACCAAGTTTAGCTTAGACTGAATTTTACCTGTAAGAAGGCTCTTTAGGCGTTTGTGGTCATTGTCATGGTCAAAAGCCTCCCCTGCAAACACCAGCATTGGTTTAGTCCCCTCAGGACATTTGCTGCTCTGCAATGCATTGGAAACAGAACATAAAGTTACAGGAGGCAAAGTAAAATAAATTAATCTGATAAAAATAGATATGGTGAACACTAAAAACGTTATTTGTTTACAATCCAAGTGTGCCTGTTTCATACATTAGTGTCTTGTCTGTAAAACAAAAATGTTCCAAATTAATCATTTTCAAAGAACGGGGAGACAATGTGTCTAGAATAGTGTGTAGAGGAAAGTTCAGTTCTAGAAGTTCATTCAGGCCACTGGGAAAGAATGTAAATAAGGTGTATTCATTTGGCCTATTGTAGCAGAGTTTGGACAAAGACAGGTTGATGAAACACTTACTGTTAATGAACTAAGATTCTGGCAGATAGAGAAAGTACAGTGGTGTCATGCACCAATGTTAAACGCAATTATAAATTCCATAGAAAATGTCTTAAAATAAAGGAACCATCACCTTGATGTCACTTAGGGAGTTATACTTCTCAATGCCAAGCTCAATCATATCCAGCACATGGAAATCAAACAGACGACCTGAAAAAAATCAAAAGGTCAAACCCTTATCTGCTGTGAAAAGTACTAGACATCTTGTGTAGAGCAAGGTCTCCGTCGCCCACTGATAAAATACAAAAATGCTTACCAAATATGAGATTGTTTGGCCTTTTCTTGTTGTGTGAGCCAAACAAAAACAGAGAGCTATCGGTTTTCTTCGAGAAGAATTCCTGTAGACAGAGACAAAATATTGATGATCGGAAATTCTTACATAATCCACAGGGAGTGCTGATTTAAGTGCTAGTATGTCTACAGTGTAAAATACTGCTTTGAATACTAGCAGGTGCATGTTCACAAATTATCAGGTTAAATTATCACAATCCCAAACAATTGGTATGTCCAAGTTAAACAAATCTGATATCAAGAGGAAATGAAGCCATGCAACATATTTGGTTAACTGACCAATGATGTAGAATCTTCAAATGGCCTAGTTATATTTTTCCTGGAAGGAAAGACACCATTTAGTTTACATTCAGGATAAACACACACATCTCAAGTACCAACAATTGATGGACTAGTATTTATGCCTTGTTATTATTTCAGTAAACTCCTTTATGCCCAAGTATTAAATATCCACTGTTATCAACGACAGGGGAAAAATAAAACATGAACACTAAATACAATCATTTCAGTACTACGAGTATACTGGGTTTGTTTGAAGAATAACTTAAGTCCTACTCAAGTGAAGTTAGAATCCATCACTTACTTTTTGTACAGCACAGCACTTGGTTTCTTCAGGGCATACTGGAGAAAAAACACATTGAGAGAGTTATCTAGATGGCACGCTCAAAACTTGACAGTCTTCATGTTTCTAGATGGGTAGGAGGTTCGACAGTCAGAAAACGTACAATGTCTTTTAATGCCTGAGTGACAGTCATACTGGTGTTGCCTCCTTTCATAATCATGGCATTCTTGATGTTCTCTGTAAGCTTAGGAGCTCTGTGGTCAAGAAAGCGCTTAGCCCTCTTCGTCTTAGGGTTTCTGAGGAGACAGTCATTCAACAACAAAAAACACTTCAGCTATGGATGACAGGGACACGAGTAAAACACAGATGATCAGACATAATACATTTTGCTAGATGGAAGAGCTCAATCAACAGTTTGGAAGTCTAGCTAGCTAGTTAACATTCGCTAACTACTTGCCCAGTAAATCACACCGTGATACCAATTATTGGTAAACAGTCAAACAAAGTACTGCAAAAATGTGTAAAGTTCTCTCTAGCCAGTGTTGAACAAAATTACATTTAAGCTTGCTCTATCTGTGCAGTTGGTCCTTATGTAGGTTTGAAATTTTAGACAATATCCACAGGAAAGTATTATTAAACCGACTTTTCAAAACGCTGATACTGCCATTTCTATCATCTGGCACTAGCCCAATAATGGACTAAAGGAGCCTAACATTACTTCTTATAGTCCAAGGGCCTTACATGTTCTGTTTAGCAGCAAATTGGCTTTGGCAGCCAAAACAGCCAAATACTCCATCTAAACGTGACTTGATTCTCAATTGTTGTACAGTACTAAAAAAATAAAGCCCTCTACTTTCATATCACATCAAAATAATTTCATAAACTTACTGTACATTGTTTCAATACAGTTGCAGCCAACAGTATTTTTACCTGCCAACACGTTTGTGGTGTGTCTTCCATTTACACACAGGTGTTCGGAGACGCAGATAGCTAATTAGCACAGGTACGCCTTGGGGATGGGCAGGCGACTTTTTTTTCTTTTTTCTACTGTTCCGAGTGCTAGCACAATTACTCCAATGAAATATATATAATTTTAGAACAAGGCCCACACTCGGAAAAAAACGTGTGCATTAATCTATATGCCAACAGTGCGCAACAATGCCTAATTTACCATAACATATAACTCCTAATTGCCACATATATATATATATACAGGACGTTCGATTTAGTTTGTGCCTGTTCTTTGGAATTTTCTAAATGGACAACATCTGTTTGGTGAGTAGGCATAGACTAAATGATTCTGATGAAAATATGCTCTGTCTTGATCAAACTAATGTTTTTGGAACCTGTATGTTTAAGGGGGTTATAGCATAGCTCTTACCAATTATAAAATGGCACTAGCAGTTCGCAAAGTGCAGTTCCTTACATTTTAGTCATTTAGCAGGCGCTCTTATCCAGAGCGACTTACAGTTAGTGAGTGCATACATTTTTTCATACTGGCCCCCGTGGGAAACGAACCCACAACCCTGGCGTTGCAAGCGCCATGCTCTACCAACTGAGCTACACGGGGTTCCTTGTTGGAAAGTAGTTAGAATGCTCGATTGCAGGCAATGTGGAAAAGTAATCTTTAGACATGTACTTTTCTTAAATGTAGTTTTGTAACTGACTAAAACAAACAGACAAAAATGCGCTTGAAAGGTAACCACATGCTCTTTCCCTCACAGGCAGGCAGAGCTGCGACGTTCTAATACCAACTGCGACTATTGCCCAAAAGGCGTTGTCTCTTTGGCAATGACGGAGTGGCAAGGAGTGGAATATCAGCTAAAAAGACTGGTACACAGACTAGTTCCAAGTCCATTATATTCATCGTTTGCTTCACCAAGGGGCATCAGGCCTACACACCTGTGAGATTTCAGTTATAATGCGTTAATCTACTTACATAACGTTACAGGTGGTTAACAAAAAAATTGTCAGAGCCACACAGACCCGCGTTTTGGAAGTCGGTTTAATAATACTTTCCTGTGGATGTTTTATAATCAAATTTCGACCTACATACGGCCCAACCTCACAGACAAGAGGTAGAGTAACACGCGGTAAATTCAAATGTAATTTATTTCAACATTGTCTTGTTAAATGTTTGCAATGTTACGTTTCAGACTATATATAAATAATTGGTATCACTAACCAGGTTTCCATCAAACCTTTTCATGCGAGTAGTACAAAAAATGCCAAGACATGCCTGATGGAAACAGAAAATGTGTCGGTAAACCAAACAAAATATGCTAGACAAGGTGGGATCGTTTTGTGTCGGTAAAATGAATTATGCGAGAAATGGCGCACAAATATTTATATAATATCCAAGGTGATGAGTTTGATGCACCTTACCAATAAATATTGAGTCTAATTCTGGTGATGACAAAAATAATCTCGCTCTTATTTTGTCCATAATAATCTCACCATGTAAAGTTAGGTAGGCTATGTCCGCACTATCTGCGAATTTTTGCCTCGAGTGTACGCGCTAATACCAGAGTGGGCAACCTAGCTATATAACGCAACATTTGTGCGAACCATCAGTGGAGTTGAAATTGCGACGGAAACCCATTTCACCTGTTTTTTATTCGGTACATTTATTGTTTTGTGCACTACGTCATCACGCACAGCCTTGTACCCACAATTAAATGTAATTGAACACATATCTGGCCGTAAAATGCGAATATTGTTTTTATGCGGATTTTAGAAGATTCGCATGAAAATCTGTCGCCAATTGGATGGAAACCTAGTTAGTTTGATTTATTGGGCAAGCTAGATAGCGAACGTTACATTGCTAGTTAGTTTCCTAGCAAGTGACTTCGTTAACTACATAAATACCTTAGTTATAGTTTAAGGGTATAAACCACAGTAAGCGTGAAATACTTTGGTTAGCAAAAAACAACTTACATTACTCCTCCGTATTGTTTCATTTTGATGGCTTCACTCGTGTGCTTGCTTCAAAATACTCCACGTGAATTTTACAACAGCGGAAAATGTCGCGGTTGCATTTACGTCACATCCGTCGTTCTGTACAGTGGATAAATCTGCATTACTCTCAGGTGGCCACTGGGTTACGGTAGAGAGCTATAACTCGTCCATAACTCAAACCCAGGGTAGAACGACTGCCCCCTCGCATTGAGAATTACAAATTGACAGCCGACCGCGGTACTGCAGGCATTGTTTCCAGAAAACAGGATCCCCCATTATAGTGAATGGGGAAATGGCGTACGGCCCAGCCACCCTAGACATAGGCTGTTCTCTCTGCTACCGCACGGCAAGCGGTACTGGAGCGCCAAGTCTAGGTCCAAAAGGCTTCTTCTAGGGCTTGTAAGTAAGCATTTCACTTTAAGGTCTACACCTGTTGTGTTCGGTGCATGTGACAAATGAAATTTGATTTGATAAGGATAATTTAGTTGCTAATGGCAGCCTGCTGACCTCGGTCGGCCTTCAACTTGAGACTCAATAAGAGGGCAGCACTGAGCCTAGAGTAGCTCAAACTGCACATGCAATGTTTCCAAAAACTCCTCCATGTAACAACATGGCACACGCTGAAATGACACTCCCTGATCAAATGCGCTACTGAGCGATATCATAGGAAACAATGGGGTAAAGTAATCGATTACTTCGTTCATATTTTTTGGTCTATGCTCAAACCCTACACCAACCCAAACTCTCGTCTTAAACGTTTTTTCAGAACGATTTATTTTAAATGTTATGCTAAATGTTAACTTGTGTATCTTTAAAAAATATATACCACATTCATAGATAACTTAGTATATATAAAATACAGTACGTATTATATTTCCGAGACCTGAAAGGGCAATTTATATTAAGTTAAATGCAAAGAAATTGTCAAGATAATAGCAATTTTGTAGGTGCACATTTTAACCAATAGATGTCCCCAGCAGACTTCCTTTGCTTGCAGCATAATCGCCTTGCCTGTCGACTAGAGCAGGATTTACCAAACTCGGTCCTGGGGCCCCCACTGGGTACACGTCTTGGTTTTAGCAAACAATATAAATGTGCGCTTGGGCCCCAAACCGGTTTAAAAAAAAAAAAATTACTTCCTTCTGCTATCAATCAGAATTCACACCCTCATCTAACCTACACATTAATGGTTGTGTAATATATATAGTCCTGGGGGTAATCAGTACTGTGGAAGGGTAGGTGAGAGTACTGCTACTGTAGAACAAAGACACCCGTCTCCTACATGGAATGACATTGAAATGGAATGTGAACCTTGCAACTTAAAATGTTTATCAATTAATACAACTTGTGACATCTTGAATCATGAGCAGTCATTCTCCAACATTTTATGGATTTCACAGCTGCAAGACCCATTCTTCAAACATGAATAACTTGTAAATGCTCAGATTTGGAAGGTCAGGGCATCATACCTGATCCTAACACTTGCGTTATTAATGCCATGTATTTATGTGCTGGATATGCTACAGTTTCAGTCAAACACAAGGTGGACTGGACTTCTTAGCTTATGCCCAACGCTGATAAACAAAGTCACACAGGAGAAAGAGCAATCTTTCTTTCTTTATTAAAGCATCAAGCTCATAGTACAGATATATTTAGCACATCTTGACCATCCAAAGAATAGCAAAATAATTAGAACAGCAAAGTTTTCCCTTCAGTACATCCTGTAAGTTCACCCTCACGTCAGGGGAGGTGTTTAACTTTCCCCTTCCCCAGGAAACCCAGCATGGGATTCAAAAGGTAAGGCAAGAAAAATACATGATCCAATTAGCTTCACTGGTTTTACAACAAAAAAGGTTGGACAAAGAAACAATATGATTGGTCCGTAGGCAAAAACACATTCCTTACAATATTTGTTAAATCGTATTACCATTATACTGCAAAAAATGCATTTGAGATTATTTGTATTTTTTTTTAAAGACCCCCCCCCCCCCCCCCCCCCAAAAAAAAAAAAAAAAGTAGTGTTGTGTTCCAAACCAACAGAACTACCCAATACTCAGATCAAGTCTAAATATGACTTCATCTAAAAACAGTAACCTTTTTTGAACAGTGCTGGTGACTATTCCCTAAACCTCTTAGAACAAGGAGGCTGGTCAGTACAGGCATAAGAATCATAACATTTCAGGTAAGGACACTTGGCAAAGGTTGGTCCTCAGAGAAAAAAATTTTTGAAACCATTCCAAAAGCCACAGACGTACTGGAGGGAAGCCATTCCGATTGTCAACTTTTCCCAGGTCCTTACATGAACTGCACAACTATTTCTAGTGGTCCACTTGTAACGTCGGTCACATGTTTTTTTTCCTCTCCAGGAAGCCCAATTTTCTGTTATCTACAGTACACCATCATACACTACATGACCAATAGTATGGGGACACATGCTCAAAGATCTCATTCCAAAATCATGGGCATTAATATAGAGTTGGTCCCCCCTATGCTGCTTTTTAACAGCCTTCACTCTTCTGGGAAGGCTTTCCACTAGATGTTGGAACATTGCTGCGGGGACTTGCTTCCATTCAGCCACAAGAGCATTTTTGAGGTCGAGCACTGATGTTGGGCGATTAGGCCTGGCTCGCAGTCGGCGTTCCAATTCATCCCAAAGGTGTTCGATGGGGTTGACGTCAGGGCTCTGTGCAGGCCAGTCAAGTTCTTCTAGACCGATCTCGACAAACCATTTCTGCGTGGACCTCGCTTTGTGCACGGGGGCATTGCCATGCTGAAACAGGTAAGGGCCTTCCCCAAACTGTTGCCACAAAGTTGGAAGCAAATAATCTAGAATGTCATTGTATGCTGTGGAGTTAAGATTTCCCGTCACTGGAACTATGGGGCCTAGCCTGAAACATGAGAAACAGCCTCTGGCCATTATTCCTCCTGCACCAAACTTTACAGTTGACACTATGCATTGGGCAGGTAGCGTTCTCCTGGCATCCGCCAAATCCAGATTTGTCCGTCGGACTGCCAGATGGTGAAGCGTGATTCATCACTCCAGAGAATGAGTTTCCACTGCTCCTGAGTCCAATGGCGGCAAGCTTTACAACACTCCAGCCGACGCTTGGCATTTTGCATGGTGATTTTAGGCTTGTGTGTGGCTGCTCAGCCATGAAAACCCATTTCATGAAGCTCCCGACGAACAGTTATTGTGCGGACGCTCCAAACTGCCTCTGGAAGTAACTCGGTAGTGAGTGTTGCAACGAAGGACAGACACATTTTTACCCGCTTCAGCACTCGGCACTCCCGTTCTTTGAACTTGTGTGGCCTACCACTTCGCGGCTGAGCCGTTGTTGCTCCTAGACGTTTCCACTTCACACTAACAGCACTTACAGTTGACCGGGGCAGCTCTAGCAGGGCAGAAATTTGACAAACTGACTTGTTGGAAAGGTGGCATCCTATGATGGTGCCACATTGAACATCACAGAGCTCTTCAGTAAGGCCATTCTACTGCCAAAGTTTGTCTATGGAGATTACATGATGTATGCTCAATTTTATACACATCAGCAACAGATGTGGCTGAATCCACTAATTTGAAGGGATGTCCACATACTTTTGTAAATATAGTGTATGCGCCACATTCTCTGGTGTTCTAAGAGCTTCCTGAACTAGCTTGATCTTACAGTTCCCAACATAGTGGGGCAAAGCAGCATGTTATAACCCTCAGAAGTGCTAAAGGCAGGCCAGAGACTGCAGTCTTAAAAAATGTTTCCTATCCATCCCAGCTCTGTCATCCAATTCAAATCAATCTGCATTCACTGGCAGGGGAAGCATCATGAATATTACTGACCAGCCAATGGAGAAGACAATCCTCAACATCCTATCAAAAACCGCTCTCAAAATTACAAACCTCTCAATGTCTGTATAGTAACCATATAGAGGAGGGCCTGCCTTCAGCACTGTAAGGTGGCAAAGTGTGTATGTATTAAAAAAAAATGTTTTAACCCCAACCCACCTGTTCAATAAAACATTATCAGGATGCCTCAGTCCCATCTACATGAGCTGATAAAACAGGAAGGTGAAGCACATTGCTCTACTTACACATGAGGAACAGACCACAGCACACTACACTGTCAAGCAATACAGCACTAGTAGTCACATGCACCAGTGTCACAGGATTTTTCCCTCACTGAACAAAGGGCATTGATTGTACTCCAAAAAACTGCAGTGGAGTCACATTTGGGGCCAATTCACTGCAAAACGTCTGCGCACAATAAAATTAATAAAATGGTTTATGCAACAGTTGTGTGGAATGATCCGGGATCACCCTGGCATGCTCAGATTGGTGGACCTCTATTGTGCGCTTACCGATTCCTGTATGGAGGGGGAGGGGGGGGAGAGAGAGAAAGGATGTACATTGTTTAGAAAAAGAAAGAAATGCTTTGCTGGGCAACCGCTGCACTAAGCAAAGAGTCTGAGTCATTATTTCCATTCAGGGCCACACGGTGCAGCCAGGAGCACCACTGTCAAGCATGGTTCTGGGGCCAGCTGACAGTCTCACTGTGTGCTATGGGGGGGGGGGGAAGAGACCCGCTGGGCCGGGGGACAATGGCTGACCATGCTGGACGGCATTGTTCTGGCCCACACCACAGGTACAAGGGGACTACTGGGTCTCCTTGAGTCATTTACATTCAGATATAACAAGCTCCTCTAGTCTAAACAAGGCCCTCAATTCATAGTTGGCACAGCCTTCGTTCTTACATGACTGATCTAGTCAAGTTTGGACAATTTTTTATTTTTTTTTCAAATGTTCATTAATGCATAAATTAAGTATTTAAAACGACTGAGAATTCTAAGAACCAGACGCTTCCTGTTGGTACAGTATACTTAAGCAATAAGGCACGAGGGGGTGTGGTATACGGTCTGATATACCACGGCTTACAGCCAATTAGCATTGAGGTCTCCAACCACCCAGTTTATAAATGTAGAAGGAGCCTTAGTATAAATGTATTACACATCCCATACCTTGAAGCACCCAACTGGACGTCTTAAATTATTTACTCTAACACATACTGTTGCCTGGGACAAGTTGAATGCCTGTCTATTTGTGGACACACTCAACAGCTAAATTGATTGTCAAGGTGGAGAGAAGCATGGCTGGCTGAACGGGGGCGTTTGACCCAATTCTAGCAGTGCGGTTTACAGCCAAGAGCAACTAGATCACGTTGACCCAGCAGTCAGCCTCTATCCAATCCTCTGGTAGTGAAACACTAACAAAGTATGACATTTTGATTTAAGGAATTCATTAAATAGGTTGATGCTTCATGACAAATTATGTTATGGCCCAAAGTTTACATGCTTCTAATCAATCAACAAAGACCAAAGTCACGAACATTCGACAAGCCAAAAAAGGGTTGGCGTTTTATGTTTTGGTACTGAGGAGTCCTGCTCGAGCTGAAAACAGCGTGTTCTTAAAGTGCACTCAAAGGTCAAAATCTAAAAGGACGCAAACTTGCAACAGATCAAATAAGCAGCAAATCAGTGAAGGGGGGGAAGGAAGGGAATTCCATTTCAACTTTAAAATAATACATTGGTAAGCACATAATAGAGGTGGACCCATCTGAGCATGTCAGGGCCCTGGACTAGTGGGCGCGGAAGCCCTGTCTGTGGGGAATGAGGGGGGAGACCTGCAGGAAGGAGCCGTTGCACTGGGCACACGGGGCAAGGCTGGACAGCCTCAAACAGAGCACGTTTAATTCCTCTACATGCACTTCAAGATCACAGCAAGAGTGCGCTAGACTATCTAAACAGAGAAAAGAGCTTTCATGCAAGATATCTAAGTTATAGGTACAACAATGCATACAATTCAAACTGGAGTTTAAACTATTAGGGCCTGTGGCCTCGTCGATGCCGAGAAATCCTGAACAACAATGGCAACAGAGTGGAGTGGGCCTCTCTGCTAGGGCAGATAGACAGCCGCCGCGGGGGGCGAGCCCTGCTACGCAGCCGCCTTTCTTTTTACGCTTCTTTTTCATTCCTAAACCTCAACTTTGCTGGTTCTGCTGGCGGCTCTTAGAGTAACTAGTAAAGACAAAATTGTAATCGTTGAATTGGGCCAACTGGCGGTCGAGGCGCTTGTACCCCTCGAGTTTCTGGGCGGAAGAAAAGACACTGCGACATTTGGAGCTCTGGTGAAAAGAAAGAAAAACAAAAAGAATTTGTTAACAGTGAAAACGATGAAAGTCACTTAAAGCAATTTTCTGAAAAACAGAGCGAAACATCCACACGCAACAACGGAACCATTTTGAACGAGAACATACCTGGTTAACAAATAGTGTAGTCACAAATTTTCCTGGCTTAAACACGTCCACAACTTTCCTGACCAAATCATCGTAGGACGTCTGGGAGAGGTTGGTTTCGAAGCTGACATAGGAGAACTCTGGCTCTGGAGTGATGTGGATCGTCCAGTAAGTTCCCTGTAAGACAAAGAGACAGTGGTTTTAGATAAACTACCAAGGTGTATTTGTCGAGAAGACCCTGAAGACAAGACCCTTGACAAGATCCACTTACGTCAGTCTTCATTCCATTCATTGAGTATCCACAAGGGTTGAACATTGTGGCGTCAATCACAGAACCTGGTATCAGGTCACGAATTCCACTCATCTGAAAAAAGAAAAGCAGACTAATGTGCACTACAAAACAGCAACTACTAATTGACAGATGAACAGTCAGCTTTATGATGTGTTCATCTATACATTAAGGGGAATATTACTACTGGGCACCAATAGCGATAATTTGAATATCGCGATATTGGTTTATTCTTCCCGTTTACCTACACGATTATGTTTTTAAAAAAATATAATAATACACTGCTGTTTCTTCATGCACAAAACCCCTTTCACAGACCACACAGGCAGTCAACATATCATACTTAATTGCCTGCTGATTGGCCATCAACAGTTGATGAGCTTCCTATTGTATACCAACTGGTTCAGTAAGTTAGGACCCCAGAACATTCACATCTGGCCGAACAGGCAATCAACAAGCAGCTGTCTCGACTTCACAGACGGGTGGATGTGAACATTCACACAGCTGCAATGTATTTTCATAAAGCCGATATCGTATCGGAAAAAATCTACTGATATTTTCCATATCAGTGGCAATCACTAGGGAAGATCATTACAGACACAGAACCACAGTGGATTAATGTCATGATAAAGACAGGTCCCACTCAACAGTGCCCTACTGAGTGACCCCTCTTGAAGGAATCAAGAACAAATATAGAACGTTGCTAGTTAGTGGGCCTTACACGAGTGACATCATTTGCAGAAACACCGTCTTTCATGAAGAACTGGTCCATAATTGCTGGATCAAGGTCACTCATCAGAACTTCCAGGGTCTGATCCGCATGCTCGTTCTCCCAGAACTCTGGCAAATCCAGAGTAAACAGGTACCTGCAGGGAAACAAACAAGGGCGTACAGGAAAACATGAGCCCATTCAGCAGCGCTGGACAGCGTAGTTCAAGTTTAACGGCAATGTCCACTGCATTATTCATTGTCATTAATGGAACAGTATCTTGAAGATATTCCTAGAGTATCAAGTGTTGATATGACCTTACCAGCAATCAGAGTTCAAACGTCCCATACAGTACGCCGCTCCGTCTGGAAAAGAAAGAACGTCATGTCATTCCTTTCTTATGTGCCCGTGTCTCATATACACCTCCTGATTAGAGAGGACAGCATATGACAAGCACAGCCTGTATAGCGTCTCTGACTCACCCCAGCCATTAATTTACCAGTCACTCCCACGGTAACGTAATTAGAGATCGAGAATGGAATTTAGAGCATGGGGTCATTAGTACTTACTTGGGAAAATCTGGCTGAGAAATTCCACTTCCTCCTGGAAGTTCCGATGAGGGAACTCCTGATGGGTGGGCTTCATGAAGTTCTTGCGCGAATAGAAGAAATTCTGTAGGTAGTGAGGAGATGGGGTTAGAACTTCTGACCTATCCTGTCCACGAGAACATCACCACAAACAAAAAGACAGTACAAAGATTACATGAGCCTCACAAAATGTCTTGAAGCATAACATGGTTTATAAAAAAAAAGTGTATGATTGGTTTTAAGAACATGTAGGCCATATGGTGTGTATCACACTGACTTCGATGGCATCAAAGCCACAGTACTCTCTGGCGAGTTCCAGCAGAGGCATCAGTGCTTGCAGTAAGAGGGTGGTTCCACAGGTCTTCAAAATGAAACGTCTCTTGGAGACAAACATGCTACTCTCACTGAAAAGAGGAAGGGACAGAAGGAGAACAGCAAGATTAGTTTTGCACGTTACTCAACACACAAGCTACACATCTACCAGTTAAATTATAGCCTTAAGCCTACATTTGTGACATGAGCGCAACTAGTTTCCCAGGTTTGAGATTCTAAGCCTTCCAGCTAAAAAAAAAAAGCAGTGGCACTGGCTTCGAGGTGCAGAGTTGAGTTTGAGGGTAGACTTAAATCAGCAGATGCTATAAACAGATTAACCTAGTCTGCTTTGAGCCCGGATTCCAAACCAAACCAATGGGCCTTAGTGCATTACTGTTGTCATGGGCCTGGCATTGTTTACAGTGGCAGGCCTGTCTGGCATTCAGGCCCACATATTAAACTCCTTAATGAAACATAGCCGAGTTAGTCATCATGTGCCTCTGCGGTTCACTTCCAACTGCCAGGGAGAACAAGGCTTTAGGTCACAGACTAGTCCTAGGGAGGCATGCAGGGTGATGTTTTATAAAAGGAACAGTCAGTTGACTATAGCATAGCCAGTGAGAAGGTAAGAGATTTAGATCTACAACGGCCATGTTTTGTCTACTTGCATTCGAGCCATCACAAGTAGTCCTTTCCTGAATCGGCACTATGCCGTTCCCATATCAACAAACATCAGGACAGCTGCCGCTTCACTACGCAGCTAGCACTGATCCTATCAAGGTTGCTGCATCTACCGCCTCCCTTCTGATCTGCGCGCCCTCTCAGAGGCTTGTAGGTGGGACCTAACCGGCAGAAGGAGTGGAGACCGCTCCTGCCTTCACAACAACTTCTCCCTAGTCCATGGGTTCTCAAAGTGGGATCCGCTGCAGCCAGAGCTCAAATACATTTCATGACTATTCAACTCAAATTTTAGAAGGAAAACAGTTGTCAAAAGCGCAGTACACTGCACATGTGAGCGGTGGCATGTGACCGATATCCAGTAGAAATGTAGATGCGAGATCTAAAGCTCCAACAACTAGCATGGGTCACTAATATGACTATGATTGTACCTTTGGATACTGGAAAATGAAAGTTGATTTGAAAACAAATAGAACATGACAGAAATAAGCTACTTGTTTCAATGGCATATGGAAGTCTTTATAAAATAATTGCCTCCATGTTTATAGAAACTGATTTTGGCTCGGCTAGCACTTGAATGTCGAATGGGAAGTGCGCTTCAATTACCAGTTAAGAAAAAAATATTGTAGCCATTTTTAGTCGTGGCCATCAACCGTCAACATGCAATTGCATTTAGAATGGTTGCGCAATGATTGGGCATATAAAAGCACGTTTCACTCCCACAGCAATAAGCGCTGTAGCAGCAGCTCTCGCACTGGCTGACAGATTCCCCCTCCAACGAAGCTTTGTATCTGTATGCGGTGTGATAAGAATCATAACTAAAAAGAAAACACGCACATTTACTCCCCCAAATAATGCAAATTAACCTATAGACCGTAAGCATTCATTTCCATCAATGGCTAAAAAGCATTGTTTTGCGATGGGATCTCTCCCGGACAATTGGCCGGTGCCAGCTTTTATTTAGCGGCTTTCTTTCTTTGGGCCAAAAGCTGGCACTTACCAGTTAACTGAAACCCTGCTTTAAAGCTGCAACAACATCTCTGCCCCATGACAGAATGTGTATAATTGAAGAACATTTGTTTGAAAACTGCAACATTTTCTCGCTGATGTCAAGAGATGGACCTGTTCCTTCCCAGGGCCCGAGACTTGGTTTGTCCAGCCATGCAATGCCAAAGTCAGTAGAACTCCTTGTATGAGAGAGATAAAAATAAATATATATATATATGTATATATAATCTCTCTCTCACGACTTGTGGTCTGATTGAGGGGGTTCCTGATGACTTTGCTATCATAAAATGGGTCCCCAGACACAAAGTTTGAGAACCCATGCCCTAGTCAGGCCTTTACCGCATTTCCAGTAAAGAGTAGGTGGCCCAGTGGGAGGACATCAGCTGTCACGCAAAGGGGAGGTTTCAGGATCAGAGGTTGATTCCTAGAAACCTAAAGCAGCAACTTGTGCCTGATGTGCTAGTGTGGGCTGCCAAGGTCCTCATTTAGCTGGCTTTCACCAGTCCATCTGGGCTCAGATAAAAACCACATCATTAGGCCCTCCAGAATAGAGCCAGAGATGCCCGTCACCCCAGGGGAGAAGCCATTTACCATGCAGCCAGCCATACAGCCATTCACAATGACAAGATTACAGATGACCCAAATCTAATTTCCTTCCCGCTAATCTGGAAAAGGAAAAAGGGAAAGGGATGTGCCAAGGTGACAGTGGTAAACAGAACAGGGATCCGGTCGCTACTCACCTGAGTATATAAGCTTCCTGCTTGTCGGTCTTTGTCACACTTATGATCAAACAGTGCACATTCTCCAGAAGTTTGTCCCACTCAAACCTGAAAGACAAATCATTTGTTCAAGGTGTTGTTTTTTTTAAATTCAAGTTCAACATTCTCTTTTCTCAAAATAAAACCATCAGAGCCTTGACTGTAGTTCTATTGCTAGCAGACTAAATTAAAACATTTAACATCTAGGCTAGGGCTGGGCGAAAGGGCCTAAAAATAAATCACTTTTTTTTTTTTTAAAGGTCAAATACACTGCATTTAAAAACAGTTAGCAATAATCTAATTCAGGGCTTGTGAAGTTATACCTAGGCTAAATATAAGCCTTCCACAAACAAGACCCACTAATTATTTAATTATTTTATCAAATAGTTACCTGCTTTTGAGTGCAATAAGCCCTGATCTGGCTTTCAAGTTGATCTATGAAATTGCCCTTTGTTACAAATTCAACTAAATTTAGAACAATGCATAATGCACATTCACTAATAATGACTAACTTCTCGTAGCAGGCATTAGGCTATAGAAAATTAACAGGTCTCAACACTCAAGGCCACGTGCTAGTGATTAGCCAGCTAATCTTTATAGATCAAGTTCAGCGAAGCTAGAGTTTAAACGCTCGTTAAAATCTGTCCAAAATAAGGCCAATGAGTTTCTATGGCCTCATTTTGGAGCTAAGCTTGTCACCTGCCTTCGGGACTCCCCCATAGACAGATCTCTGGTGTAAATGGGAAGGTGCCAGAGCATGCGAGTTGAGCGGTTGGAAATCCCGCTCGTCAAGCTGTGCTTGCACACCGCTCCATGCGCTTTCCTACCGCGCCGCTAACAACCACTACCCTCACAGGGAAAAAAGCTGCAGCTCCAAATTTGCTCCGTTCATTAAAAATCACAATTTAACCAACACCCATCTATTTTTGTGGCTACCTGTATCTACCAATTGGTTTTAAGTATTGAAACCAAACCATATGGATTTGAATGAAAAATATTTGAATAAAACATGAAATGGTGAATGTAAGAAGCTAACATAATTTGACATGTAGCTCATTTGAAATTAACAGGAACAAATGATTTAGCCTATATTATTTCAAGGCAATAGCCTACAAAGAAATACATTGTAAAGCATTTGCGGCACAATAGGCTGGTAGGGACAAAGCACTCAACATTTAAACATTTTTGTACTAAATTGCGCATAGGCTGTGACTATCCTCGCCACCCCTCCAGAGCCACTGGGCATGCTAAACCCCCTTTTGGCCACTCGACAGGCTGGGCAGATCATTTTTTTATAGGTAGACCCAAAAAAATCTCGCTCCAGTCAAATTGGGCATGCTCCACTCCTCGCTCCGCTCACATACTCTGGAAGGCGCACACAGGTACAAAAAAGACGAGACCAAAAATACGAGAACAAGCAGACATAAACGCTCATAAAAAAACTACTTAATTCTTACAATACAGGCATTTGGAATATTGCGCAAAAACAAATGTGGATTATCGCCTGCCCTAATCTAAATCAATTTAGCATTATCTATTAGCCTAATTGGTCCGACTAATAAATAAATGGACAGTGAAAGTGGAGTGCCACCTGAAACCATCAGAGCTGTATGACAAGTCGACTCGCACTTTAAAAAAATTGACCAAATCACTTTATTCATCATCTTCACAAAGAAAACCGACAAATCTCCAGTACTATACTTGTTTTTTTATTTTGAGCTGGGTCCAGAGCCCTGGCATTCCCTTGCAGTGCAGACTGCTACTGTCGAGCAGCTGCCTGCCCTCTTCCCCTCCTGCATTCAACGCTCAAGGACAGCTGCAGTGTCGGGGCAGCGTCCCAGTCCCACTACAGAGAAGGGACTGCTGCAGTGAGTGCGCGCGCAGCAAAACATAAAGAGCAGTCTGGTAGTGACTGAAGAGCATGGCGCTCAATGGGGAATTTGCTAGGTGCGTTGCGCAACCCAGCAGGACCCACATGAATGGACTGCCCCTTTAGTGGTCACACTTCAAAAAGCTTTGACCTTTGAACAGGAAGATTTACTCAGACCAGTATAGAAAACCCTTGGCTTTGAGCCTCCAGCTGTGTCTAACATTCAGTCCTCCCCCCCAGGGCACAGATGTCTCAACTAGGGATCTTATGATACTTTTGTGCCAATATGACATGTGTTGAGATTTGTGACAATTCTATAGGTATTGGGAGTCCATTTTGCCATTAGATGTTCCAAACATATTGCTCACTAAATGTCTGCTGCAGAGAGATGAAATATGAGAAAATGAGTTGAGCAGTCATGGAAATAAGTCTTGAAAACGTTGACTGTCGGTGTGTTTAAGAAATATGTAATGCGTATAGGAATTAGGCCAATTTGACTATAGTGAGCCACAAAAGATTGAACGTCCAAACAGTTAATTAAAATCAGGAGGAGTGTTCCTTAAAAAGGACAACTACAACACTTAACATTTGGTTATTATTAGGAAGTGTTTACTGATGTCCTACAGAGTGTGTAATTTTATGATTTCACGTCTATTGACCGTTTAGAGCCGAGTAAAACCGGAAATTCCTTCGTGACATTTTCAAGTAGAATCCCTGAGATGACTAATACAAATTATGGACAGTCATTTTCAGCAATAAATATAACCATCTGTAGTTTTCTGATCATATTTGACCTTCCGGCTATTTCCTGTAAGTCGCTCTGGATAAGAGCGTCTGCTAAATGACAAAATTTAAATAAATAAAATGTTCCTCTGGTTGACTTTGTCTAATAACATTTGGAAATATTTTAAAATAGACGCTTGAATACCTAATGATATTTATAGCCAGCTTACTCCAATATTTTTCTGTTGTTCAACGCTCAAACTCCCATGATTCTATTCGGCGAAACCGCTACCACCATCAAGGACCGAAGTTGCCGCTCCGGCAGCCATTGTGGCCTTTGCAAAAGCCTATATTTTCATATGTATTTACTTGTAAACTTCATATTAGCTCCAATAGGCCTCCAGTGTTGTTGGACGATTGTCTTGTTGAAAACACTAGATGCAGGTTTAGCTACTTAGCTAGCATTGCTAACATTAGCACCAAATATATAGGCTGAGACTAGGATTCCGTAATGATTTGCCTATAAATTTTCATAAGTGTGTTCTTCTAAACAGGCCTACATGTTGTTTGGACTGTTTAAGACAGTCGTTACGATGAAACTGTTGCAAACAAGTATTTATTTTTTGGGGATGTAGCAGTCGGGCTAGCTAGCATGCTAACTAAGTTAGATACAGTAACTGTTATGGTTAGCATAACTAGTTAAGATCTAAATTGGAATTATTTGTGTCAGGGCATGGACTCCACAAGGTGTCTAAAGCGTTCCACAGGAATGCTGGCCCATGTTGACTCCAATGCTTCCAAAGTTGTCTCAAATTGGCTGGATGTCCTTTGGGTGGTGGACCATGCTTGATACACAGGGGAAACTGTTGAGCAAACCCAGCAGTGTTGCAGTTCTGGACACACCAAACCGGTGCACCTGGCACCTATTACCATAACCAGTTTAAAAAGGGACTTAAATATTTTATCTTGCCCATTCACCCTCTGAATGGCACACATACACAATCCATGTCTCAAAGCTTAAAAATCCTTCATCACACTGATTGAAGTGGATTTAACAAGTGAAATCAATAAGGGAGCATAGCTTTCACCTGGTCAGTTATATATTCTTAAATGTTTTGTATACTCAATGTATATTCAGCATGACATTCATGCAAGCATAATATATTTACAATCCAAAAGTAAAATGCACTCATAACTTGACATAAGCAATATATTTAGACTAAGCTTAGTCTGGGCTTGATAGACAAAATGCACCCTGGGAATCTTAGTATGCTGTAGACGAGGGCAATACAGAAGCTTAAAAATGACAAAAAACAAGGAATCACGCAGTATGACTAAAAAAAACATAACAAAATGTATCAAATCTTAAAAGTAGTGCATATATATATATAACAGAATAATAACTGGTTATGTGGCTCATCCATCCACCATGTCACTTTCCATGGTTGACAAGTTACCATTCTGCCCTATTGTGAAAGACTTGGCCAAATATAACCCTGGCAACAAGACATTGACGTCAAGATCCTTTACAGGACCAGGACTCATTTCAGGGGTCATCAAGTTTCCTGGGCCACACTCCTACTAGAAACTTCTTGTAAACACATCCCAGTACCGATCAAGTGGCTGTCAATGGAGCACTTTATCAGCTCACATAGTGTGACATGGGCACTATAGCTACTCCTGGTTACGAAGAGACTCAAATTTCCCAGGCAAGAATGGCTTGAGGGAAAGTGAAACCCAGGATAAATACAGCCAAATAAATGATAGGCACCTCTCAAACCCATCTGGGGAACTATTCTCAAATTTGCAACACCCTTAATGTAGGTCAAATTAATAGGTGAACTTTCCCAGTAGGGTGTCAGGTGTGCTGGTCAACATTCCTCAGGTGGATTATACCCCAAGAAATATGATCAACAGCCCACAATTTATGAGGAGGACAATCAGCAGAGTTTAAGCAGCTACTTAGCCCAGAGAGAAAGTCAGCGGCACAGGTGGGTGTGAGGTACAGATTTGTGAATCAGTTGCCCTTGTGGACTTATTTGGACATTGGCAGGCATCCAGCACCCCTGATCCACTAACTGCGTCTGAGCAGTTAATCTTCCCTGGCTGTAAATTAATACCCACTGTCATTCATTCCGTAAGCCAGACACTTTCCTAACCCAGATCTGATGATCATGTTCTAACAGAAAACTCAGGCTTTCCCCTAGGTTGGCAAGAGTAGCCATGAACCTTGCCACATAAAGGGTGAAGAGAGAACTATTTGACAGTTCTCATTCATTTAAAATAAAAATGTATTGAAGTACCAAGTCTAGCCTATCCATCTATGCAATTGCCATTCCAACACCAGCAAGAACAACTTTGTTTAACCTCTTAAGGATCTGACCCTTTTTCAATTTGCCCCTAAAATGACATACCTAAATCTAACTACCTGTAGCAAGGATATGCATATTCTTGATACCATTTGAAAGGAAACACTTTGAAGTTTGTGGAAATGTGAAATGAATGTAGGAGAATATAAACACATTAGGTCTGGTAAAAGATAATAAAAAAAATTAATAAAAAGACATGCATTCTCAATATACTTTTATTTTTTTATCCTCTTTGAAATGCAAGAGAAAAGGCCACAATATATATTGCAGTTTAGGCACAATTTAGATTTTGGCCACTAGATGGCAGCAGTGTGCAAAGTTTGATCCAGTGAAGCATTGCAATACTGGACTATTTCGTATAAAGTCTGCCCAAATGTGCAGAATTGGTCAATTGATACATTTAAGTACATAACTATAGAGAACATACATTCTGTATTACCATATCATTTTTGTAGGTTTACACACTCCAAGGAATGTCAGACATGGATCATTAGCTTATACACTAACTTTCACACATCTAGATGGCGGGTGGGTGTGGAGCCAGAGAGAGCAGGGGTTCAAAATGTAGAACCCAGTTCCTACATTTGAATATAAAAATTTATTTAATCAAATAAAATTATGCAACATTTTATCTCTGGGACCCTCAGGATAACAAATCAGAGCAAGATAACATTATTTACCTTCAGAGGTGAATGTATCAAACCAGTTGCCGTAATAAGTTGTTGTGCACTCTCCTCAAACAATAGCATGATCTTTTTTTCACTGTAATAGCTACTGTAAATTGGACAGTGCAGTTAGATTAAGAATTTAAGCTTTCCGCCCATATAAAGACATGTCTATGTCCTGGAAAGTTTGCTGTTACTTACAACAGTCATGCTAATCACATTAGCGCATGTTAGCTCAACCGTCCCATATACGGGACATCGATCCTGTAGAGGTTAAAGAGTGAATTTTCATTATATTATTAAAAAGGTTTTTCTGGCTCCGAGGCCTATAATGCGCCAATGTGTCAAATGGACAATGCACCAATACTCTCAAACCTGGCATGGTATAATTTGATACTGAATATTTTCTAATTTAGTCCAATCAATGCTGATCAACTATAGACATGTGGGTATTAGTTTCCATTTTAATGATTGTCAATTTCATACTATCGCATAGCTCTCACCGTCATACTTTCCTTGTCAATTCATTATCTTATAGCCTACTTCCAGAACACCGAAGGTAGGCCTAGTTTTTTTTCTTTATAAGGAAAGGATAAATATTTGCTTGTGTCTGACATTTGCTGGTGGCTTTGATTGAAGGTCCTTTTACGTTTGGGGGGGGGGGGGGGGGGGTCTCCGATTGTCTCTATAGGCCTAGATGTCCATTCATAAAGTGTCCTGAAGTAGCCAGCGCGGACTCCATCTCTTTAATAAGAATCAAAACACTCCTGTAATGATTTAAAGGCCTATGTTCAGTAGTTTAGGCTAGATGATTTCTCATTACGGCGTCCTATCTGAAGACCACATGCCAATGCCACTGGAAAATGAGTTCGTGTGAATTGTTTTGTGCGTTGGATACATATTTTCTATATTTGCAAAAAAAGGACAAAGTAGGCATACATCTTTATTTTGACTCCGCCATGCGCCATTTGAAAACCTGCCCGAATACATAGTGCCAACTGTAAAGTTTGTTGGAGGAGGAATAATGGTCTGGGGCTGTTTATCATGGTTAGGGCTAGACGCCTTAGTTCCAGTGAAGGGTAATCTTAACACTACAGCATACAATGACATTCTAGACGATTCTGTGCTTCCAACTTTGTGGCAACTGTTTGGGGAAGGCGCTTTCTTGTTTCAGCATGACAATGCCCCCGTGCACAAAACGAGGTCCATACAGAAATAGTTTGTCGAGATTGGTGTGGAAGAACTTGACTGGCCTGCACAGAGCCCTGACCTCAACTCCATCTAACAGCTTTGGGATGAATTCGAACGCCATCTGCGGGCCTAGTCGCCCAACATCAGTGCCCGACCTCACTAATGCTCATGTGGCTGAATGGAAGCAAGTCCCCCACCAATGTTCCAACATCTAGTGGAAAGCCTTCCCAGAAGAGTAGAGGCTGTTAAAAGCAGCAAGGGGGGGGGACCAACTTCATATTAATGCCCATGATTTTTGAATGAGATGATCGACGAGCAGGTGTCCACATACTTTTTACTTTTGGTCACGTAGTGTAGGTTTTCGGTGGCTTTTTACATTTACAAGCAAACGTGAACGAAAAGTGTGCAAATGAACAAAGTTGAGACGCATGCTTGTCTGAAGGAAGAACAGTACTTTGTACACACTGTCTGTATGGAGTCTGGGAGTCGCTAGTGCAACGGGCCTGCCTGCTCTACTTGGAGAAGATAGGGGAGGCGCAGACGGGCCCAGAACTGAGAGGAGAAAAAAAACGCAAGGATAAATCTTTTTTTTTTACTTGTGTGGCTGCCTGCCAAAGTTTTGCACTTCGGTTGTCATCTGATGACAATTATCACTATTGAAAAAATATATATACAACGTGACCCCTGTCAATACACAGCTGGACTCTACTGCTCTCTCCTGTTGTGCCATTTACAAACACTTGACCGGCTCAACTGTTCTGGGGAACTACCATAAGCTTCATAATGTGACAGGTGAAATGAACACCATCTGCTTTATCTCCTAACTTATTACACAAGTTGACTGCAGGGATTTACTTAAAATGTAGCTACAAATATTTATTTATTGAAAAACACTTAAATTGTTAGCAGTATTGAAAAACCATACCATGACTATTTCTAAATATCCTGGTACAGACCAGGCACTAATCAGACTGGGGGGGAAAAATATATTAATTATGATTTTCTTATCTACACAGACCATACAAAGTTGTCTGATGATTGGTCTTCTGAACTATCCAATACCTTTGATGCATTTCAGTCACTTCAAACCATACTTCCTTTAGATTGAAACTGTCAAAAGTATACCCACTCATTTGTAATAGGCTATCATAGCCCCAAATAAAGCAAACATTGGCCTATTAAATCATTTTTTTACATGGTGGGGTTGCAAAATTCTCTCCAAATGTGGTTGGTCACATGCAAAAACAATGTGGGAACCCCTGCGCTATTGTCTGACTTATACATAACAGCAGTTTGCTGGAACTCCAACAAACATACTCCAAAACAAGAGCATGTAAATAATTTTAGTATGGTTGATAGTGACACGTCCTTTAACAGATATTAGGGCAATACATTGTATTTTTTTATATATTTTTTAAGGCCTTTAGGTTGGAGTTCCAGGTAATGTTAGTGTCATTAACTACTGCTGGTCATTCATTTTTTTTTTTACATTTTAGTTATTTAGCAGACGCTCTTATCCGGAGCGACTTACAGTTAGTGAGTGCATACATTTTCATACTGGCCCCCGTGGGAAACGAACCCACAACCCTGGCGCTGCAAGCGCCATGTTCTACAGTATTGAGTAAGTCACACGAGAAGATTAGTTTCTCTCAGATAACTGGTTGGCAATCAACTCTCAAACGGATCATTATCCATTACCTACTGATTACGGTTTTAGTTAATTCTGCATTGCAGATGTAAATATTAGAGAAAAAGACAGCCAATAAAATTAAAAGAAATTGGCCACAAGGCACTGCCACATGCTTAGCATGATGCTAGGGCCCACATGCGTGACGCAGGAGAACAACTGAAATGGAAAATTACTAAACCTAGTTACACAATGACATAACTTCAGAAGTTGAGTTGTAGATTTAGCGACCTAACTAGTTATTTACATAAGATACATTACTGCATAAAGATGCATGTGTACATCGGTCGAACGCCAAATGCATGCGCAGTATGCGAAAAACCCGCGCAGTCAAACTTAACCCGATCAGACCCTTTTTCTTGGCAAAACAACTTGCTAGATTGCAAATAGGTAACTAGCCGGATGCCTTACATTGCACCAAGCCATATTTAGATACATTTCTGAACATGTTAATGTACAATGATTTTTACTGGACATACAATGAATGACAGTTGGGTGAATTGTAGCTAGACTAGCCAACAGCTAGCGAGCCATCCAACAAACAGTTGATATTCAGTTCGCTAACTAACACTGATTGAATGAATGACTCAGCTAGCTAGCTAGCGCGTTAGCAAGCGCCAAGCTACTATAGCTAGCTAGCGGTCGAATGTGGGGGGATGGTAATTCATTCGGCCACCCCATGACATGTCAGTGAAAGATGCTATGGTGGTCTACAAGATAACTGAGTTCCTTGCCATTAAACAGACTAGCTAGCAAGAGAAAGAAAGCCTGGTTACAATGTTTTTAGCGCGTGTTGAAGGTTGGATCTCCATCCAGTCTTCTTCAGATGACGGATTGCTTGAGTCCATGAAGTGCCACAGGCTAGCAGCTTAGCTAGCTACCAAGCCAAGTAAAGTACAGACCACCAGCATGTATTAATCAAATCTTCACTTCACAAACCTTGGGATGGTACGGAGGTCCCCTGTTCCTTTGGTCTCATCTTGCCGGGAGAACCACACCTCCAACAGCTTCTCGGTTCCCTCGAAGAAGTGTGCACCGTTCTCTTCCATCGTGGCACAACAGACACCAATAACAGAAATTAAACGTCGGTTACGTTCTCAACTTAGTTAGCTAGTCCTTGCTTGATCGTTATAATTTATTAAGTACAGTCCTTTAGCAATCCAGGTGTAATTTCTTGGTTTTACCGTCTTCCCTTTTACAGAGAATACTGTAGAGCGACTGCTAGCTAATATCGCCGGCCATACTGTGTAGAGCGCAGAATGAGCGCTGCACAGTGACTTTATTCACCTAGCCTAACACGTCACCCTCAAGTTAGTCGAATCACATTGGCGGGTTCTTGCCATTAAGTGGCGATTGGCTGAGGAAACTGTCAGCATGATGAAAGCCTGTACATTGCCAATTTCCAAACAGATTACAAAATGATGGTTATGCCGATTTGCTACATGCACCTATCTCATGTAACAGCTCAAGGCTATAGATGTCAAATGGGGGATGATATAGCAGACTATTCCTCTAGTTTAGGCTAATTAAGAAATACCTCACTTTATTATTTCTATTCGAAAACATATTGGAGACCTGCACATGTTGGGTCAAACTACAAAAGGGTGACACGTTTGTTAATTTCAGTAATATATAAAACATGAAACGTTACAACTGACCCCCCCCCCCCCCCCACACCCATTTTTTTATTAGCGTTCATGAGTACGCAGGTGCAGTAACTGCAACGTGAAATGCGGACTGTAGTTTCACGGACCTTTTACTTCCATGTTGATAACTAAAATTGACGTTTTTGTCAACTACCTTACCCAGAAAGCCGTGCGTGCCAATTAGAAACGTCAACGAGCCAGTGAACATTAAACGGAGCAGACCAAAATCCCAAACAAGGAAATGGTGGGGGAATAAAACGACCAGATTATTTAATTAATGGATGTAATAATTAATATTTTATTTTATTGTAATTTAACAAATATTTATGGTTTAAAATGGATTACGACTTCAAAACAAAGCTCGCGGCCGAACGAGAAAAGGTAGAAGATCTGTTCGAATATGAAGGTTGCAAAGTGGGTCGAGGCACCTACGGGCACGTTTATAAAGCTAAGCGCAAAGACGGGTAAGATTCTGAAAACGGTATTGTTTACTCAAACTGATTGCAGAATGCTAAAATGTAAAATGGACAGACTACATTTGAACCACCCTGAGCGCTGCCAGTGTCTGTGTTTTTGTTTTCATGTACGCACTCACTCACTCGCAACGGTCCTCCCCCAAAACAACACAGCGATGATGTTTATTATTTGACACACTACTTTCAACATTAGTTATTTATATAAGCCTAATATCGCTAGTAGAAACGTGTAGGCTTTGATCTTGGTCAACTTGGCTAAGTCATTGCTGCTTAAAATAATAATATCATATTATTGCCAAGATCTCTCAAGAGTACTCAAACAGTCGAACTCGATGCAATGCTTAACTCCTTTTGGTGCTTGAATGCAAATAAAAAAAAGTGGCACAGCAATGAATAGAATATACATGTTTGGCTAATAATTTATTATTACGGTTTTCTAATATGGATAAAAGACTCATATCAAACTTCAAACAATGACTATTTTTGTCATTTGTGCAGTTCCTGTTCCTAATTGACCACTTACTTTGCAAAGTCACCAACATTTTTGTGGGATCATTTAAAATATATTTAAAAGTATTTTCCTGCACAAGCAAGTGATTTTGCTGTGTTTGATTCTCATTTGTGCACCAATCTCATGATATGCCTGGACATTTCCACTTTCCCTCCAATCTGGGGAGAAGTCTATGATAGACTTCTCCCCAGATTGGAGGGAAAGTGGAAATGTACTCTATGCTATTTCGGTTTTGAGGGGGGGGGAGGGGGGGGGGTAGATCACTATATCACACTATCATTAGCCTATAATGGGCCATTAAGCCTATTAGCCCAATCAGATAGGTATATAGGACATAGGAACTCATCTGCACTGATCAATCAATACTGGAGGTAATACAGTATATCACCTCCAGTATTGATTGATCAGTGCAGATGAGTTCCTATGTCCTAAATGCCTATCTGATTGGGCTAATAGGCTTAATAGCCTATTATAGGCTAATGATTATAAAACGATCCCTCGTTTAGGGAAGTCAGTGTAATATGGATCTTTTGGCCATAGTAGCAGAATATATCCTATCTGTAATAAACAAGTTGACAATTTCAATGGCAATGCACAGTTGAGGGAGGTTTTTTTTCTCCATTTACCGCCAACTGGTGATTTGGCATTGGGCCTTTTGGCACGAAAGTCGTATTTTCACGGAATGTGGGCGAGGGAGCGTAAACAGGGCAGGACCAAAATTGGAAAGCTGAACTTTATGCAAATAATCTGCGATATAGCAAACGCTATTGACCAATTGAAGCTAATTTTAGCTTCCAGCCCCTACTGGATTGGCTGTTGATACCTAGCACTACCTAGCCTGCTTGCTAGCACCCACATGAGGGCGAAGTTAGCGTGGCTATCCGAATTATCATGTTATGTGGAAATGCACTGTAATCTAATTCTGTTGCTCAGGGCGCATGCTAGTGTTGCGTTCCTCTCATTTACTGCGAAAACCCCCGCCTGCTTTTTCTTGCAGGTAGCGTCACCTGTCGTTCGAGTAGCCTGACAAAACACCTGATATTTTTTGACAATTTGCGCATTCATTTATGTAATTTGTAGGCCTACACAATTGTAGGCTTACTAATATTAATAGATAAAGGGACTTCTCTATTTAGTTAATCAATATTCTGGATAGTGTCTCTGTCAACATGAAGATAGCCTACTGCTCAACTAGGCCCTACAATCCTTATCGTTGACCTAGCCAATATTTAGAGAAACTGAGACATAGTGTCATTGTTGTTGCTGATTGTTCAGTGATGCATGCTTTCAGGGGTGGTGCAGGAGGCCTGGCTGACGCAATTTACGTGACTCACGGCGATGGAGAGCTGTGACACACTAATGTCAGAAGGACTTAAAGTTAGGTGTTAGCCAAACTATTAGGCCTAGCTCAGGGGAGAACGACTGCCCCCTCGCATTGAGAATATCAGGTTGAAGGCCGACCGCGGTACTGCAGGCATTGTTTCCAGAAAACAGGATCCCCCATTATAATGAATGGGGAAATGGCTATCTTCGTGGTCAATATTCGTGGATAAAAAATAATAATTTTGGAACACAATCATGGTTCCAATAATTGCTTCTATTTCACCAGATGTTTGTCCTTGAACCGATTACTTTAAAATCACACACAGACAAAGTTATAAGGATAATTTAGTTGCTAATGGCAGCCTGCAGTACCTCGGTCGGCCTTCAATTTGAGATACTCCATGACAGGGGGCAGCACTGAGCTAGCCTGCAACCTCACTTCCTACTTGCTGAAATGACACCTCCTGATCATCAAATGCACCACTGTTCATTCTCATAGGAAACAATGGGGTGATGTCATCGATGGCTTCGTCCATATTTTTACAGTCTATGGCCTAGCCTTTTAGTTGCTAATGCTTGCCCTTAATACAGAGTATTTGAACCACATGTTTAAGAAAACTAATGGCCAGCAACCAGTCAATGTATTTTGTGATGGCACCTCATGTATTGTAATAAAGGCACATTTTCTTGATCCATCCTTGCTGGTCAGAAATATGAAACACTTTTCATGCAAAGTTTGGCCTAGTATATTTGTTTCGTTTTTGTCTTATAAAACTTGGTAATTGTCAGTGGAACATATTGAGACTTTTTAGTCTTCTGTTGGTTTTTCAGTAAGGTCTTCCAACAGTCAGCAGTTAGCAATAAATTGCAGAAGTAGCACTTTGATGAGGTGTGCTTTCTCTCTGTAAACAGAAGAGGGAGTGTCTCTATCCACATGTATGTGAATTTAGGAATGTGAGTCAGGATTATGGCCAGATGAGTGTAGTGGCCATGCAGGCTTTTTGTGAGGCACAAAAGGCAGCCTGTGGACTGTGTGTGACAGCCTTAAGGCGTCAGCATGCTTCAGTTCGGCTGGCGACTAGCTAACCAAATGAGTGTGCTCGCATACTCCCTTAAAAGACCTTCGCTTGAAAAACAGTTCATCTTTCCCTCGATCCTGACTAGTCTCCCAGTCCCTGCCGCTGAAAAACATCCCCACATCATGATGCTGCCACCACCATGCTTCACCGTAGGGATGGTGCCAGGTTTCCTCCAGACATGACTCTTGGCATTCAGGCCAAAGAGTTCAATCTTGTTTCTCATGGTCTGAGAGTCTTTTAGGTGCCTTTTGGCAAACTTCAAGCGGGCTGCCTTTTACTGAGGAGTGCCTTCCGTCTGGCCACTCTACCATGAAGGCCTGATTGGTGGAGTTCTGCAGAGATGGTTGTCCTTCTGGAAGGTTCTTCCATCTAAACAGAGGAACTCTGGAGCTCTGTCAGAGTGACCATCAGGTTCTTGGTCATCTCCCTGACCAAAGCCCTTCTCCCCCGATTGCTCAGTTTGGCCGGGCAGCCAGCTCTAGGAAGAGTCTTGGTGGTTCCAAACTTCTTCCATTTAAGAATGATGGAGGCCACTGTGTTCTTGGGGAACTTCAATGCTGCAGAAATGTTTTGGTACCCTTCCCCAGATCTGTGCCTCAACACAATCCTGTCTCGGCGCTCTACGGACAATTCCTTCGACCTCATGGCTTGGTTTATGCTCTGACATGCACTGTCAACTGTGGGACCTTATATAGATAGGTGTGTTTTCTTCATTGGCAGGCACATCTCTTCAATGCATTTTTCCCACCACCAGCAGGTTTTTACAAGGGCACAGGAATACCCTCAGAATACAATGTCAAGATAAAATCCCTCTGATTTTTCCTGACACTGCATTTATTAAATAAAATCCTATTTATCTTTGATCATTCTGATTCTGCACTGTGTGTGCTATGAGCTCGGTATGTAGGCAATGGTTGAAGCCAGAGCGTGTGTTTGCATTAGAGGGTGAAATGCAGATAGATGGTAATGAGAGGCTGCACTCAACAACAACAGAGCACACCTGTGGCAAATGAATAGCTGTCTTCAGCCAGAGGATATTGCTATTGGCAGGGATTCCATAAGAACACATCGAGCAGTCCATCTCCATAATTTTCATATCCCCTGTCCTTTCTGACTCTCATAAACACACAACCTTCAATACCTGATATGGTATTGTATTAATCTATCTATGCTCAAGAACAAGGGATTTGTCCCTGTGTTACATTGCCAAAGAATTAAAGCTGGTTTGTGATGTCCTGTTTTTTTTTCTTCCTTTTGTCTGTTTCTCTGCAGGAAAGATGAGAAAGAGTATGCGCTGAAGCAAATTGAAGGCACTGGAATATCGATGTCTGCTTGCAGGGAAATTGCTGTAAGTTAAGATATTGCTTAAAGGTGCCGTTTTGCCCTTTCTCCTACTATATTATTTTCCTTTCTCCTGTGCTTTCTCCTACAATAAGATCTTATGTGTAGTTGCTGCACCATGCCATTTTCTTGACTTTAACCCTTAGCTGGTGCTATATTAAGGAGTAGAAACCTAAGAACTGTTCTACTTTGACTGTAGAGTGTATTCCTGTACTGATGTGCTTCTAGGATTGTAATAGCCCCAGAGTTGCACAATGTTCCTAATGGCATAAAGAATAGATACATCACCATGTAAACATGATATATGCCAGTACTCAAGTGCTTGGCAAGATACACACTGTAGGAGAACAATAAAGGTCTGCACATTTTATGGCACCCACACATCTACTGTATAGTGTTCAGGCCTCCAATGTGTTATAAACAATACAATATTTGCCTTTGGTGCAAAGAGATACATGTACACACCATGCTCCTCTTTGCTTACACTCAGCAGTCACTTTGCATTTGTCACTTACTCTGCAGGTTATTCCTAACTCAGTGCTAAGCAGAAGCAGTTCAAGAACACATACTACACTGGTTTAGTGTCAGCGCTTGTGTAGCCTTATCTGAAAACAGCAAGGCTAATACTCTTTAAGTGTTGTGTTCATAGGGATTATCGCTAACACAACACAGAATAGGTGAGTGTGATTAGGCTATTTGTGCTGGGTGGTGTGTGTCAGTTGAAGCCATATCGTCTAGATCTCTGTGAGGAACAGCAGATAATCAGAATGTGGTCCTTGTGACAGGGGAGCTGTAGCCTCGTACCAACCATCTTGATTTCACCATCTTGGTTTCACGAGCTTGTCGATTAAGGCAGCCCACCGCACCTCTTTGATTCAGAGGGATTTAGTTAAATGCGGAAGACACATTTCAGTTGAATGCATTCAGTTGTACAACTGACGAGGTATCCCCCTTTCCCTACATTCTGTTTCGCTACACGTATACATGGATTTGATGTATCTGTGTAGTGAAATAGAATGTAAGCTCGTGAGATCAGGATGGTTCGTATGAGACTAGGGGAGCTGACTGGGTAATGTAATGTTATGTAAGTTCCACATACCAACCTCTCTAGGTATGTGCTATATGATCCACACAATATCAGAATGTTGTATGGTGGTTACACTACTTGTTGTGGTGACTTGCACACGTTAGCGGTCGATAGCTTTGAAATTCACTATTCCGTTGACAGTCTATCTACAAATTTGCACAGCTCCTGGAGGTACAGTATAGTAAATAAGGAGTCTTAATTCAAATCAACATTTATTCGACCCGTACACAGTTTACAGCAGGTATAAAAGGTGCAGCGAAATGCTTGTGTGCTAGTTCCCTCAACATTGCAGTACAATAATCAATATCAATAATAAGAGTAAAATCAAATATACAATTTTTGTAATAGAAGAGGTAGTATGCATAGTATTAGCCTGATATGTACACAATAAGATGATAGATAATGAATGTGCTGTATTTACAAATATAGTGGGTACCCACTGGGCACAGAGGTCAATTCAACATCAATTCCACGTTGGTTCAATGTAATTTCATTGAAATGAAGTGGAAACAACGTTGATTCAACCAGTGTGTGCCCAGTGGGTAGTGTAGTTTGTTGGTCGCGCAGTTGAATAAATAGTATATACTAGAGCAGCTGCGTTGACTCTGTGTGTGTGTGTGTGTGTATGTTTATGGGTGGTTATGGGTTGTTGTGTGTGTGTGTGTTTATGTTCATTCCCATTCCAGGAGTGGGGACACCTATAGTATCCTCTCCAGGTGACCCTCAACACTTTAGCCCCACATAGTTTTCAACCCATAGAGATCCTGTTTAATTACTATAGCGGCTAGATCATAAACCCTCAACGTTTCAGAATGGGGTGAAAATGGCAGCCATATTGGTCAGGAAGAAATCTAAACCAGTCTAATTGGAATGAATGGCAGTAGAGGCTTAATCCGGATTTTACTTATGCAGGAACATAAGAGTAAGGCATGTGATATGAATGGAATGTTGGCATATTGGCAATTCATTTGAGAAATTAATGGAATCATTTCTAAAGCTGTCTGGCTTGCTAACAAACATACAGTGCAGATACATTCTTCAAATTCATTATTTTACACATAATCTTATCACAGCACTGGCAAACCATGGTTGACCAACTCCCTGAACAAAATGGCTGACCTTTCATCATAAGAAGGTTCATATCCATTCTAGTATTCTAATTACTAATTCTATGGTTCACCCACTCTGCTTTCAGAAGTAGCTATACAGGGTAATGATCATAGAATTAGGAATTAGAATAGTAATTAAATAAGTAATTTAATAGGATCTCTATGGTAATTATGATGTAACAGAACATGATGCTTTCATTAAAAAAAAAAGTCTCAGGTCAAATTCTACTACGGCAGGATTGCTTTGTTTTTCGAACCATCAGATGGAAATCCTGGCAAGGAATGTTACCAAATAGTTCTGAATGAAAATAAATATTGGTGTGTTGTGTTGGTGATCTGACCCAGTATCGGGTGTCTAGCTAGTGTGTCTAGCCTGTTCTGTTTGCACAGCACACCTCTCCCGGTTTCTCTCCACAGTGGATCCTATCATTCTGGGCTATGACCGTGTGTAGCGCACACTGTTAGCCGGTGGCAGGTTACTGCTCTCACTCTAATACTGCTCTGCTGCTCTCTCTCCTGGCGCCATCCTCTAGTTTGTGCTACAGGAGACTGAATTGTCAGATTGCACAGCGGGCAATTTTTCCTTCATGTGATCTCTGATGCTTATTCATTGTACTAAACTGATGGATTAGTCAGCCCTGTGTCATCACTGGCTGGCTTCCCCTCATGACTACTATAACTTATAATGCTGTTGAAATGCAAACACGTGCCTGGAAAATTGCCCATAGTTAGTTCAATTCATGAATTTCAATCTCTTACCTTTTCTATTTTTGGCATTGCTATTGGATTGACCCAGACCCTGTGGACACCATCAGCCACAGGGGAATGGAGGAAAGCTGCAGACCTGGGTTCAAATACATGCATTTTTGATTATTTGTTATTTAAAAACGTATTTTCATTAAATACTTTCTTTCTTTGTAGTCAAGTATTTTCAAATAATGTGGCCCGAATCAACTGCTTCTCTTGGAAGTAGGCCTATTTGAAAGTATTCCAAATACATTATTTCAAATACCAAACAGACCTGGGTTCAAATGCATGGGAGCGTTTATCTGTATTTAAAAATGCACTATGTTCAAATTAGGGCAGTGAGAGTTAATCAGTTATAAAATGTTAATGCACTTTTTTGTTGTTGTGATTAAAGCAAATTATTATTATTATTATTCTTATTCTTATTATTAGATGAGCAGTACAACAGCAGGCTCCCATCATCACATCATAACACGAGGGGTGCCTGCTGAAGTTAAGAGCCACCAGAAATGGATTTTGCTCAGTCTCTCAGACCAACTTAGTTTAAACAGAACAATGTGCTCTTTGTGTCACCACCACCCCAACCCCCCCATTCTGTTGTGCAAACTGTGCTAGAGTTTAACGTTTGGCATGCCACACTCACAACTGACTGAGGGAGGTTTTGCTGCCATGTGTTATTGGTTTTGTGCATTCAAATGGCTTGAGGATCTTTTTTGCTTTTTCCATGTTCGTATGTCCCTTCAGAAGTTGTGGAAAAATCATTACGAGTAATACATTTTCAGAACCGAATGTACAGTACCTTTGAAATTGAGCAGTCATTGGGATTCATTTATTCAGGCTTTTGCATAATGTAATGGGTAATGTTTCCTCATGAAACCAGATTACATGTAATAGCATATATACTGAGTGTACAAAACATTAGGAACACCTTCCTAATATGGAGTTGCACCCCCCTTTTCCCCTCAGAACAGCCTAAATTCTTCAGGGCATGGACTCTACAAGGTGTCGAAAGCGTTCCACAGGGATGCTGGCCCATGTTGACTCCAATGCTTCCCACAGTTGTGTCAAGATGGCTGGATGTCCTTTGGGTGGTGGACCATTCTTGATACACACGGGAAACAGTTGAGCGTGAAAAACCCAGCAGCGTTGCAGTTCTTGACACTCTCAAACCAGAGTGCCTGGCATCTGCTACCATACCCCGTTCAAAGGCACTTAAGTCTTATGTTTTTCCCATTCACCCTCTGAATGGCACACATACACAATCCATGTCTCAATTGTCTCAAGGCTTATAAATCCTTCTTTAACCTGTCTCCTCCCCTTAATCTACACTGATTTGAAGTGGATTTAACAGGTTACATCAATAGGGGATCATAGCTTTCACCTGGTCAGTCTATGTCATGGAAAGAGCTCATGTTTTGTACACTCAGTGTATGTTGATGTGTAGGCCTATTAATTGTATTGAATTAAGCAAGGTCTTGTAACTCATCTGCATCAAAGGATCCACATGTAACCACTGCACTGTGCACTGCCACTGAGCTGGTTGTTGAAACAGAGCATAAAGCAGCTGGTTGCGTAATGTATCCTAGACCAGTCAGGGAGGATTAAAGTTGAACCTCTCTCACCCCTTAAACCCATGTGACACAGGAGACCATGTTTAGATAATACTGGGTAAGTCCTCAGGAAGTTAACTGACCTGTGGAGGCCTGTACTAAATAAAGGCCTCAGAGTGTTGTGAGCCTTCCTATAGAAAGAATCATGCTTGCTTTCACTCAGGTCAGTCAGTGGGTTTATCCATGTCTATGTGGTTGATGGGGTTTCTCAATCACTTTTTCTCTGTCAACTGTTACTAGATACAGCAGTAGCATTGTATTAAACATATCTTTAGATGTGTCATTCTCTGTTCTCTCTCAAACTCAGTCAGTGGTCAATAGACCTCGTCGTTTGGTGATAAGCGTACTTCTCATAAGTTGGCTATTACTGCTATGGTGTGGCCTGAGGTCTGCCAGTACTTCTCACTGGTTGTCCAAAGGCTTTTTAGGTCTGTGACTCATGCAGAAAATCTGA